TAACTGAGTAATTGATGAATGAGAATTGGTTGATAATGGCAAGTACAAGCAAGGTTGATATAGCATGTAAGATCGAATGTCGGAAAGTACTTCGTGGGACTAGGAATTGAAGGCAAGAAAAGTAGAGTGCCACGTGGCACTAGGAAATCTAGGAAGATAAGGATAAGGGTAAGTTTTAAAGTACTGTTCGGAATGAACAGTAAATCCCCCCTTAACAGTCCACTCTTGTAGAAGCAATCAAGAAACACAATGAAAAGTACGAAGGCGAAAAGTCGAATTGATGCGAAGAGTCGCGTACAGCTACAAAGCATCTGGACCGTCGGAGCAGAAGCATCGGGCAGCTGCAGTGGCGAGGATTCTGGAGGGAAACAGGTTTGTAACCATCTAGAGACGGTTCGATCTCGCTGCAATAAGGAAATGTACCCCTTACAGTACATGGCTAGAAGGTCGTTCCGTATTCCCCTATACTAATATTCATACGAATGTATTTGCATGTTTTTATTATTTCATTCATTTTAAATTCAATCTGACCTGACGTCAATCTTCCGCTGCAATACACTCTGGTGGTCAGACAAATCTGACCGGTGAAACGCAACCCAACCTGGCTGCGACAAACGAGAAGACGACGACCATCAACACCGTTGCACTCGAACAACTACTCCAGCGACTTTCGACTCTGGAGCAAGGTTCTCGACAGGACCCTTTAGCGAGCCGCGGACGTCACCCCCTGAAACCCGTGCCAACATGGTACCGATGGACCGCTCTTGAGGGGGAATATACCCCCTCTGACCAGATGCATTTCACAACACCGCTCCAGGAATGCTGTATGTATTCATATGGTCGCACCTCGAAGACTGCGGTGCATTCTGAATTCGCCATCGAAACCCACCAAACTAGCCATGTTTTCAAAAGAATACATGTTTTTATATAGGAGTACAAAGGAAATCGAAACGTTGTGTATTCGGTCTAGGGTTTAACTTCAGATGTATTCGGTCCTAACTAGCCATGTATTCCGAGGGGTTTATCCCCTTACTGCAGCAAAACACAGCCGTGTGACTCCATACGGTTACGAACCTGTTCGTGCCTAAATCCTTTGTGCTGCAGCTGCCTGATGCTTCTTCTCCGACGATCCAGATGCTGGCAACCGTACGCGACTTTTCGCGTCGTTTTGTCCTTTCGACTTCGTACTTGCTTTTGTACTCTTCAATTGCTACTGATAGGAATGCACAATGCTTCTCAATTTATTATTCGTAGGAGATATTAGTAGTTGTGTGATATTGAGGCGGAAGACGAGAAATCCTGTATTGGTAGTTTGTGATAACTGGAACTAATAATAATGAAACAATTTTTTTATCAGTATAGAAAAGTAACTATTTGGCGGTATACATGTTTACAAACTAGGTTTTTTATTGAGTCGACTCTTGAAGCGGTACTTCTACTGTGTCATGTGAATAGTCATAGGACTATTTGCACTACTACCTGTTGTTGGAGAAAGTAATTTGACTTATACAATTCAGTAATTCGATACTATAAACACTACAGTAGTATCATAGTATTATTATGTATGCATGTTACTGTAGCAAGTGTCCCTTCGCGTGAGTAACAGGTAGTAGTGCAAACAGTCTCACGCCTGTTCGCGTGATACAGGAAAGTACCACTTCAGGAGTCGCCTCGATAAAAGCTCTGTTCACGAATAGAAACACCATAAAAAGGTACATTGCTATGTCAAAGAACTGAACGAGAATGATGGCATTGAACAGAAAGTTGGTACAAGTACTAAACCTAATTGGGTTGTACCCCATATGGGCTGTCAAAAAGTGAAAGCGAGAATGGTGAAACTAGCAGTATGCAGGAGTACAAGTAGCAAATCCTAATTGGGTTGTACCCCATATGGGCTACCCCACTACAGCCTACACAACATGCAACATATAAGTTTGACACGCCCCCATAGGCAAAGTGGGGGAGAACAAGCGGTCCCAAGACCAGTCAAGCAAAACAAACCAAGCTCAGGGTGGATCACGAAGTCACCACACACTCTGCGCACAAGCAAATGGCCACAAGGCCATTTCACATGCAGAGTTATAAAATGAGAACAAGCAGTACAGTGATCAAAACCTAGCAAGTGTAAGCATGCAGGTATAAGTATATAGATCACAGTACAAACAAAGTCAAGAAGTGAGCAAGTGCGGCCAAGTAGGCACAAGGCCTAAAACAGTACAGAAACGCTGATGATCACAAGGCTGAAGTGCCTTGGTGAATATATCAGCAGTGTTGGCCCGAGAGGCCACGTAAGCAAGACGAAGCTGACCACGCTGCTGCAACTCTCGAGCAAGTAACGCAGAGCAATGTGCTTCATCCTGTGCTCCAGTCTGTGCTCCTGACACAAGGCAAGCATGGCCTTGTTGTCTACATACAGAACTGGAGGAGAAGTAGGTCGCTCTCCCAAGTCGGTCAGCCGGTAGGTGAGCTAGCGTAACTCTTGTGCAGCCATGGCCCCTGCGTAGATCTCAGCCTCACAACTGGAACTGAGAACAGAAGACGAGCGGGTAGACCGCCAAGAAACAGAACCGGAGCCAAGGCTGAAAGTGTAACCCTGTGACGACCGCTGCGTAGCCAAGTCGTCAACCCAAGATGCGTCAGCGTGGCCAGTGAGAACAACTCGACTCCGTCCTCCAAGCACGAGCCCCATGCCCAACGTACTGCATAAGTAGCATGACACCCTCTTAGCGGCCTCCCAGTGCTCTCGTCTGTGTCTCCCGGGTGCAACGTAGCGTGCCAGGATGTTGAGAGGGTAAGCAAGGTCAAGTCGAGTGCAGGTCATCAGGTACATGAGGCAGCCCACATGCTCTGGATACGGGCCACTCGGCTCTACGGACTCGTCCGAAGGTGGAGCTGAGAGCGAGTGAACGGTAGGCAGAGGAGTGGACTATGGCGAGGACCAAGTGAAGCCGAAGCGCTGAAGGACCTCTTGCACCATGTGTGACTGAGTCAGGGTGATTGTGTGGCGTGCTCTGTCCCGGGTGATCTGCAAACCAAGATAGCTGCGCAGCTCACCCAGGTCTGTGCACGTGTGTCTCTTCTGCAGCTCCGACTTCACTAGAGTCAATGCCTCAGTGTCAGCAGTAGCAAAAATCAAGTCGTCGACGTACACGAGGATGTAGAACGGCGGCAGCGAAGTGTTGGTGCTCAGGAACAGCGACGGGTCAGCAGTCGAAGGAGCAAACCCAAGAGCCCCAAGAGTCATCCTCAGTGTGTCGTGCCACTCGCGAGGCGCCTGGCGGAGACCGTAGACTGGCCGCCGAAGGCTCCACTGGGTAACTACAGGAAACGACCCAGTGAAGCCAGGTGGGCGGCGCAGCCAGATCTCCTCGTGCAGAGTGCCCTGTAAGAAAGATGTGCTGAATTCAAGAGAGTGAAGCTCGTAGTCACGCTGAGCAGCGACGTGCAGCAACACCCGAAGAGTGGTCATCTTCGGGGTAGGGGAGAAGGTCTGGAAGAAGTCCACTCCCTGTCGCTGACTAAAGCCTCTAGCAACGTAACAGCCTTGAAGGCAGGCGGAGAACCTGGCGGCCGCTTCACCCTGAAAATCCATATGCTATCGACTATGTTCACCCCAGGAGGGGGAACTGCGTCGACGTAAGTGCTTGTGGACTTCCAAGATGCCATCTCTGCATCCATGGCTGTCTGCCACTGAGAGGAGAAGGGACCCGTAATCGCCGCTGCGTAAGAGCGCGGGGTCGGGATGTCTGGAGCATCCGGGTCTCCCTCAGGTGCAATCAGCATGGACACGAGATGAGGTACAGCAGCAGCAAAGCACTCAAACTCCTCCTGCCTGTCCTCAAGGACGTCCGTGCCAAGAGCACACTCACCCCCGACGGACGGAGGACAGACAGACTCAGACTCAGCAACAAGACTAGCGGCGTAGTCGAGAGGACAACAAGCAGCAAAGTCAACAAGCTCAGTAACTAGGGCAGACGCACCACTTTCAACCCCTTACCACAACCCTAGCGCCAACTACAAACCGGACAACAAACCTCTGTCCCCTACAGGATTTCAACTGTACCAGCAGCAACTGGGTTGCCTGCAGTTCGCCTCTGTCACCTGCCGACCCGACCTTTTGTACATCGCCTGCCAAGTGGCACAATATTCTCGCAAGCCAGTAGCTGAGAACCAGCTGGACCTGGAGCGCGCCCTGCAGTACTTCATCTCCACACCTGACATCGGGCTCTCCTACTCCACGCTGACGACGACCTCCTTCAACCTCAATGGCTACGTGGACGCAGATCATGCCGCTGATCCAGCGGATCGACGGTCCCGAACCGGCTTCATTTTTCGCCTGTAACCAACCGGACCAATCTCCTGGAACTCACAAAAGCAGGAGCTGGTTGCCTTATCATTGGCTGAAGCAGAATACATCGTCGCGACAGCAGCAGTTCGCGAAGGCCTGTATCTGTAAGAGCTGCTACAGGAAGCGAAAATTCCAACTTCGCCTACCTTTCGCCTTTACTGCGACAACCAGAGCGCCATCAAGATCGCGAACAAGCGAGGTTTCGTGAACCGCACGAAGCACATTGCGCTTCGGTACTTTTTCGTCAAGGACGAGTTTGACCATGGGAAAGTTGATCTCGCGTACTGCCCAACCACCGAGAGGGCAGCCGATTTCCTCACCAAGCGACTGCCACGTCAGCAATACAAACACTGCTCTGACCTCACCGAAGTAGTCAAGCGAGTCAGCCCCTTGTGCGTCCAGGAATGAAGGGGAAGGGGATTGTTACGATATGAAATTATATGAGAATGCATTCCTGTATGCTGCATTAGCCGACTCTACCGAGTACGAAGTCGAGGAGTCAGAAGAGTCGAAGCGACGCAGCAATCGTCTGACTAAGACCGATGCAGGCAGAAACATTTGAAATGAAAAGAGCGGGAACATGTTTTGAAACGGGTTCCCGCGCCTCACGGTTTAAAATCGCTGCAATAAGGGAATGTACCCCTTAGAGTACATGGCTAGTCTAGGTCTTTTCGTATTCTCCTGTATTCTTATATAAACCCGACGTATGCATGCAATTATCAATATCAGTCATTTACATTCACTCTGACCTGAGTTCACTACTTCCGCTGCAACACTATCCTGCGATCAACCCTGAGCGATCCTTCGCTAAGTACCACTAGGGTTGATCCCGATGCTTCTGCTCCTGCTGCTGCTGTGCCTGTGCCTGGTGGTGCTGGTGGCGTGGGAGCAGGGTTTGGTGCAGCAGTGGGTGCAGCAGTGGGTGCAGCAGGGGGAGCAGTACGGGCTATGGTGGCGGGTGGGGAAGGAACTGCTGTGGCGAGTGCAGCAGGAGGGGGTGACAGTGGTGCGGGGGAGAATTGGGGGGAGCGAGTCGGGGGAGGGGCGTCAGCAGCGGAGCAGGGGGGCACGGGAGGGGAGGGGGCAGTGGCGCGGGACATGTGGATGAAGTTTGGGGAGGAGTTCAAGATGCTGCCCCGGCAGGGCATGGACAGCAGCATGCGGAACCCGTGCTGGCGCGTGCAGGCAGGCAGTGCGGCGGGTAGTGCGGGCACGGAGGGGGGGGCAGGCCCCGAAGTGCACTGCCTGCCGTACTTCTTCATCATCGGTGCCACCAGGTGTGCCTCCTCTTGCATCTTTCCCTTTTCTTCTTTCTCCATCTGCCATACCGATCGTCTTCAGTCTTTTCTCCCAACTGTTTCCTTCCCCTGTCGGCTCCTGCTCTTGCTCTTGCCCCACATACCAGAATGTTGTCCGTCCCTCACTGCTCCTTCTTGCACTCGCCCTCGTACTTCCTGCTCCATCTCCTTTCCCCTTCCCCTCCCTGTGCACCGTGCGTGTACCCACACACTCTCAGTGCCGCCATGCAGGAAGAATCTGTACCAGAACCTTACCCCTCATCCATCACGCCCGCTCTGTCTTGTTCTTCCCTTTTCCACCCCCCTTGTCTCGCACCCATTGCCTGCATGCATATCCCACCCCAATGCCGACACTGCCAGGGCGGGCACACAGGACCTGTACCGCAAGCTGACGTCCTCCATCACGCCTGCTCTGTCCTTCGCTTCCCTTTCCCCGCCCTCCTGTCACACATACCTATCCCGCCCACCATCCCAGGGCGGGCACGCAGGACCTGTACCGCAAGCTGACGTCCTCCATCATCCCGGGCATATTCCCAGCCGCCATCCCCAACCCCCAGTGGTAGGAGGACCTGCCTTGCCTTCTCCCCACCTCATGATGAGCACAATTCAACAATCCTTGTCCATCCTTATCCTCGCCCTAGTCAGTTTTTGTGCTGCCATGCCATCCCATCACAGCAACAATCAATAAAGCACAACGTTTATGACACAATGCCATGATCCTCTCCACCCATCCACACACCACCCCCCTCCCCCCCCCCTTCCGCCCCACCTCCCTCCTCTTCCCTCCCCATCCCCCACTTCCCGTTTTGCCATGTATGTGTAGCTCGTTCCTGTCTTCGTGCGAAATGGCTCCTTGCAGTTTCTTCTTCTTTGAATGCTTCCACCAACAGCTCAAATCGCAGTCCTCTGTCTCGTCCTCCCTTCTCTGCTTCCCTGCCTCTCATCCTCTCCCCTCCTGCCACACAACAACCACCATCCTCATCTCGCCACAGCCACTCCCCTCCCTCCCCTCCTCTCGTCCTCCTCAACTCCAACCCTCTCATGAACCCATGTTCTTTGTAGAACCTCTCAAGACACAGCCCTTCAACCACGTTGTGTAGCATACATTGGACGAATTCTGACGCGCCGTACCCTCCCCTTCCCCATCCTTAAGCATCCCAAACCTTTTAAACTAGGACCGCAACTGCCCGAGAGACACACACCCCCACCCATCACATCTCCCTGCTCGCCTCCACCCCTCCTCTTCCCATCCCTTCCCCGCGGTTTCCCCCCCACCTCCTCCCCTCTCCTGCCTCCATACCCCCGCTGCCCCATCCCCACCCTCCCTTGTGCAGGTGGGACCGCAACGGAGCACGGGACTTTGCGTGGTACGTGTCGCTGTTTGACGAGGCAGCGCAGCACATGGTGAACACGGGGGGCAGCGCGGTGACAGGCGAGGCGTCCAGCACGCTGCTCACCAGCTCAGGCGTGGTGCTGCGAGGCCACGTGGACGACAGGCACACGGTGCCGCAGCTGCTGCACCTCGGGCTGCCCAGGAGCAAGTTCATTGTCATCCTCCGGAACCCCGTGGACCGGTTTTTCTCCGAGTTTAACCTCGCTGCCGCTGTCAACCCCTCACCCTCCGTTCCCAGGGACTTTCATAAATACGTGAGTGCCCGCACTGCACTGCATGACACCGCATCACACTACATCAATTTGCACTGTTTGCCCCCGCTCTACCGTATCTCAATCCCTCCCCGTCCCCTTCCCATCCCTCCACACACCCGCTATGCAATCCGATCTCGCTTTCTCTATTCGCATCTCTCCCACAATGCGTTCTCACCCTCGAATGGTCCTTGTATATACATGGGGCTACAGTGCAATGGAAGGTGAGTACAGGACAAGCAAAGCTGTGCCCAGAACCGCCTTACACGAGCTCGCAAGCCGGCCCCAGGGCCTGCATCAAGCCCCCCCCCCCAAGTCAATGGGCTCATGAAGCACGTCGATGGGCTCCACCCGTGCCGGCCACCAAGGCGGTGTGGGACTTGGCGGTTAGGGCATTGTTGGCCTGACTCCTTAGCGTGTTGGAGGATGATCGATGGATGGACCACCGCTGGCGGTAGTGCTGGAAGGGCTGGCCGTTTTGCAGGAACCCGGCTCTCAAGAACTGGCCAGCTCTGCCCGGCTCCGCTTGGAGTTGTTTAGCCACAAGGGTGGCGCACCTGTAAAGGAACTTGAGCTTACCCGATGAAACGTACCCGTACGTCTCCACAGCCAATGCCTAGAACCCGACCCAGGCCGTCCGGTTGCAGTGGGATTTCTGCTCTTTGGGACGGGTAGCTTCTTGGCCACCCAACCAATGTTGTGGATGGCCGTGGGGTGTTGCAGAGAGATTGGGTCTGTCACCGTCACATTATACAGGCACACGCCCCCCCGAGTTGGGTTGGCGCATGGCGAGATCCACCCTGAGCCCTTCAGCTCTTTGTGGACCGTGAGACCGCAGTCGGATGCGATCCTGGTCAATGCAAATGCGCATTTCATCGCGCACAGCAGCATTGTGAGTGCCAGTCCTCCCTTTGCCGGTCCCGCAGCGGAGCAGATGGTTTGGGAGACGTGGGCCGAGTATCTCTGTCGCGTCGTTCCAGTCACATGCGGTGGGCACAAGGTGTGGCAGGCTCAAACGAAACACCACGGCTCAGGAGCACCAACACCAACGAAGGAGGGAGTGCGGGCGCTGGCTGTGTTCGAGTAGGGCGTTCAGCTCCATATTCCTGAGCGGGGGGTTGCTCTCCTCCAGCAGCATAGAATCTTGCGGCCTGCACAGGTAGGCTCACACCCCACTGCGCGTTGAGTGATTCTAAGCCGTCTCAGAGTAGGTGAAGCGAGGAGGCAGGCTGTGGCGGTGGTTTCTGTCCGCTACAGCCGGGCGTCTTGGGAGAGCTGCTCGGCTGTTAGGGTTTGGGCTGAAGAGCGGGAAAAGAGCCGCGATGCTAGGGTGCAGTGAGCCGCTGGTGGCGCTGAGTAAATGCGCTGTTGCGGCCGTTAACGCCAGGAAACTGCTCTGCGGCTGGGTATGAGAGGCAGAGCCCGCCCAGGGATGTTGGGAGGGAGGTCTGGCGCCAAGTGCGGGACCGCTCCCCAGGGTGGCGATGCAGGGGGGTTGATGTGGCGCGGCACACCGATGTGGTAGGATGCTTCACCCCGTTCCGACCATTCCTTCGCAGGTAGGGTGTTCGGCGGAGAAGCATGGAGGAAAAAGGACATGCGGCCGATGCATGGAGGAAAAAGGACATGCGGCCGATGCATGGAGGAAAAAGGACATGCGGCCGATGCAGAGGGAGAGAAAGAGGACATGCGGCCGATGCATGGAGGAAAAAGGACATGCGGCCGATGCAGAGGGAGAGAAAGAGGACATGCGGCCGATGCATGGAGGAAAAAGGACATGCGGCCGATGCAGAGGGAGAGAAAGAGGACATGCGGCCGATGCAGAGGGAGAGAAAGAGGACATGCGGCCGATGCAGAGGGAGAGAAAGAGGACATGCGGCCGATGCAGAGGGAGAGAAAGAGGACATGCGGCCGATGCAGAGGGAGAGAAAGAGGACATGCGGCCGATGCAGAGGGAGAGAAAGAGGACATGCGGCCGATGCAGAGGGAGAGAAAGAGGACATGCGGCCGATGCAGAGGGAGAGAAAGAGGACATGCGGCCGATGCATGGAGAGAAAGAGGACATGCGGCCGATGCATGGAGGAAAAAGGACATGCGGCCGATGCAGAGGGAGAGAAAGAGGACATGCGGCCGATGCATGGAGGAAAAAGGACATGCGGCCGATGCAGAGGGAGAGAAAGAGGACATGCGGCCGATGCATGGAGGAAAAAGGACATGCGGCCGATGCAGAGGGAGAGAAAGAGGACATGCGGCCGATGCAGAGGGAGAGAAAGAGGACATGCGGCCGATGCAGAGGGAGAGAAAGAGGACATGCGGCCGATGCAGAGGGAGAGAAAGAGGACATGCGGCCGATGCAGAGGGAGAGAAAGAGGACATGCGGCCGATGCAGAGGGAGAGAAAGAGGACATGCGGCCGATGCAGAGGGAGAGAAAGAGGAGGCAGATTTGGGGGTTGACCTGGGAGAGGGTTTCAGAGGCTGATCATTTGAGCGAGAGGCGCTGAAGGCCGAGCAGCTCTCCTCCAGGTCACGCTGGAGGACGCCACGCTGAAGGCTGTGGACCCCACGGGACCGCCGAGAACAACACGCAGGCCACTGCTGCAGAGGGTGGTGCGGGTCGGCAGACAGAACAGAAGCAGGTTTGGTTGAGGGCTGGGTGAGCATCCCCGCATATGGAGATGTTTTGGGCAGAAGGATGATGGCCGAAGTCAAGGAGTCGAAAACAGCAGAGCAGTCTTGGGGGGGCCAAAGAGCGCCACGTGGTCGCCTCCTCCCACCTGAGTGCCAGCCAGGATGGCGACAGTAGGTTGGGAGGGCACTGCTTTGAGCCCAAAAGCGAAAAGGAGAGGGGGCCCACGGCATGGCATCCCCCTGGCGAACAAACACCTGTGGCGCTGATGAGGTGGGCAACGTTGAGTTGAAGGCGGTGTGGAGGATGAGCCGCGAGTGGCTGCTGCTGTAGGACGATGCGGTGACGGGAATGAGGAACTCCTGGGGGCAATGACAAAGCCCTCGAATACGCCCGCCTCCGCTCTCTTGTAGGCGTTAAAATCGTTACTGGCGTCGAGGTGGAGGGCAGGGTGTGTGTGTGGATGGATTGGGAGGAGTCCTCAAAGTAGGTTCTGGAGGAGTGGATGATTGCTTCGACCCCCGCCCCTACAATACCCTCTTCGTACCGGATTGGGATGAAGTGTCGGCGCACAAAGGGAGCACTGGGCAGCAGCGATCAGGAGGGCCGCTTTTGAAGTGAGGTGGTGGACGACCTTTCTCATGGCCATTGTTCTGGTGAATGCTTTTGAGGTGAATGCTTTTGAGGTTCTCGACAGGACCCTTTAGCGAGCCGCGGACGTCACCCCCTGAAACCCGTGCCAACATGGTACCGATGGACCGCTCTCGAGGGGGAATATACCCCCTCTGACCAGATGCATTTCACAACACCGCTCCAGGAATGCTGTATGCATTTATATGGTCGCACCTCGAAGACTGCGGTGCATTCTGAATTCGCCATCGAAACCCACCAAACTAGCCATGTTTTCAAAAGAATACATGTTTTTATATAGGAGTACAAAGGAAATCGAAACGTTGTGTATTCGGTCTAGGGTTTAACTTCAGATGTATTCGGTCCTAACTAGCCATGTATTCCGAGGGGTTTATCCCCTTACTGCAGCAAAACACAGCCGTGTGACTCCATACGGTTACGAACCTGTTCGTGCCTAAATCCTTTGTGCTGCAGCTGCCTGATGCTTCTTCTCCGACGATCCAGATGCTGGCAACCGTACGCGACTTTTCGCGTCGTTTTGTCCTTTCGACTTCGTACTTGCTTTTGTACTCTTCAATTGCTACTGATAGGAATGCACAATGCTTCTCAATTTATTATTCGTAGGAGATATTAGTAGTTGTGTGATATTGAGGCGGAAGACGAGAAATCCTGTATTGGTAGTTTGTGATAACTGGAACTAATAATAATGAAACAATTTTGTTATCAGTATAGAAAAGTAACTATTTGGCGGTATACATGCTTACAAACTAGGTTTTTTATTGAGTCGACTCTTGAAGCGGTACTTCTACTGTGTCATGTGAATAGTCATAGGACTATTTGCACTACTACCTGTTGTTGGAGAAAGTAATTTGACTTATACAATTCAGTAATTCGATACTATAAACACTACAGTAGTATCATAGTATTATTATGTATGCATGTTACTGTAGCAAGTGTCCCTTCGCGTGAGTAACAGGTAGTAGTGCAAACAGTCTCACGCCTGTTCGCGTGATACAGGAAAGTACCACTTCAGGAGTCGCCTCGATAAAAGCTCTGTTCACGAATAGAAACACCATAAAAAGGTACATTGCTATGTCAAAGAACTGAACGAGAATGATGGCATTGAACAGAAAGTTGGTACAAGTACTAAACCTAATTGGGTTGTACCCCATATGGGCTGTCAAAAAGTGAAAGCGAGAATGGTGAAACTAGCAGTATGCAGGAGTACAAGTAGCAAATCCTAATTGGGTTGTACCCCATATGGGCTACCCCACTACAGCCTACACAACATGCAACATATAAGTTTGACACGCCCCCATAGGCAAAGTGGGGGAGAACAAGCGGTCCCAAGACCAGTCAAGCAAAACAAACCAAGCTCAGGGTGGATCACGAAGTCACCACACACTCTGCGCACAAGCAAATGGCCACAAGGCCATTTCACATGCAGAGTTATAAAATGAGAACAAGCAGTACAGTGATCAAAACCTAGCAAGTGTAAGCATGCAGGTATAAGTATATAGATCACAGTACAAACAAAGTCAAGAAGTGAGCAAGTGCGGCCAAGTAGGCACAAGGCCTAAAACAGTACAGAAACGCTGATGATCACAAGGCTGAAGTGCCTTGGTGAATATATCAGCAGTGTTGGCCCGAGAGGCCACGTAAGCAAGACGAAGCTGACCACGCTGCTGCAACTCTCGAGCAAGTAACGCAGAGCAATGTGCTTCATCCTGTGCTCCAGTCTGTGCTCCTGACACAAGGCAAGCATGGCCTTGTTGTCTACATACAGAACTGGAGGAGAAGTAGGTCGCTCTCCCAAGTCGGTCAGCCGGTAGGTGAGCTAGCGTAACTCTTGTGCAGCCATGGCCCCTGCGTAGATCTCAGCCTCACAACTGGAACTGAGAACAGAAGACGAGCGGGTAGACCGCCAAGAAACAGAACCGGAGCCAAGGCTGAAAGTGTAACCCTGTGACGACCGCTGCGTAGCCAAGTCGTCAACCCAAGATGCGTCAGCGTGGCCAGTGAGAACAACTCGACTCCGTCCTCCAAGCACGAGCCCCATGCCCAACGTACTGCATAAGTAGCATGACACCCTCTTAGCGGCCTCCCAGTGCTCTCGTCTGTGTCTCCCGGGTGCAACGTAGCGTGCCAGGATGTTGAGAGGGTAAGCAAGGTCAAGTCGAGTGCAGGTCATCAGGTACATGAGGCAGCCCACATGCTCTGGATACGGGCCACTCGGCTCTACGGACTCGTCCGAAGGTGGAGCTGAGAGCGAGTGAACGGTAGGCAGAGGAGTGGACTATGGCGAGGACCAAGTGAAGCCGAAGCGCTGAAGGACCTCTTGCACCATGTGTGACTGAGTCAGGGTGATTGTGTGGCGTGCTCTGTCCCGGGTGATCTGCAAACCAAGATAGCTGCGCAGCTCACCCAGGTCTGTGCACGTGTGTCTCTTCTGCAGCTCCGACTTCACTAGAGTCAATGCCTCAGTGTCAGCAGTAGCAAAAATCAAGTCGTCGACGTACACGAGGATGTAGAACGGCGGCAGCGAAGTGTTGGTGCTCAGGAACAGCGACGGGTCAGCAGTCGAAGGAGCAAACCCAAGAGCCCCAAGAGTCATCCTCAGTGTGTCGTGCCACTCGCGAGGCGCCTGGCGGAGACCGTAGACTGGCCGCCGAAGGCTCCACTGGGTAACTACAGGAAACGACCCAGTGAAGCCAGGTGGGCGGCGCAGCCAGATCTCCTCGTGCAGAGTGCCCTGTAAGAAAGATGTGCTGAATTCAAGAGAGTGAAGCTCGTAGTCACGCTGAGCAGCGACGTGCAGCAACACCCGAAGAGTGGTCATCTTCGGGGTAGGGGAGAAGGTCTGGAAGAAGTCCACTCCCTGTCGCTGACTAAAGCCTCTAGCAACGTAACAGCCTTGAAGGCAGGCGGAGAACCTGGCGGCCGCTTCACCCTGAAAATCCATATGCTATCGACTATGTTCACCCCAGGAGGGGGAACTGCGTCGACGTAAGTGCTTGTGGACTTCCAAGATGCCATCTCTGCATCCATGGCTGTCTGCCACTGAGAGGAGAAGGGACCCGTAATCGCCGCTGCGTAAGAGCGCGGGGTCGGGATGTCTGGAGCATCCGGGTCTCCCTCAGGTGCAATCAGCATGGACACGAGATGAGGTACAGCAGCAGCAAAGCACTCAAACTCCTCCTGCCTGTCCTCAAGGACGTCCGTGCCAAGAGCACACTCACCCCCGACGGACGGAGGACAGACAGACTCAGACTCAGCAACAAGACTAGCGGCGTAGTCGAGAGGACAACAAGCAGCAAAGTCAACAAGCTCAGTAACTAGGGCAGACGCACCACTTTCAACCCCTTACCACAACCCCAGCGCCAACTACAAACCGGACAACAAACCTCTGTCCCCTACGGGATTTCAACTGTACCAGCAGCAACTGGGTTGCCTGCAGTTCGCCTCTGTCACCTGCCGACCCGACCTTTTGTACATCGCCTGCCAAGTGGCACAATATTCTCGCAAGCCAGTAGCTGAGAACCAGCTGGACCTGGAGCGCGCCCTGCAGTACTTCATCTCCACACCTGACATCGGGCTCTCCTACTCCACGCTGACGACGACCTCCTTCAACCTCAATGGCTACGTGGACGCAGATCATGCCGCTGATCCAGCGGATCGACGGTCCCGAACCGGCTTCATTTTTCGCCTGTAACCAACCGGACCAATCTCCTGGAACTCACAAAAGCAGGAGCTGGTTGCCTTATCATTGGCTGAAGCAGAATACATCGTCGCGACAGCAGCAGTTCGCGAAGGCCTGTATCTGTAAGAGCTGCTACAGGAAGCAAAAATTCCAACTTTGCCTACCTTTCGCCTTTACTGCGACAACCAGAGCGCCATCAAGATCGCGAACAAGCGAGGTTTCGTGAACCGCACGAAGCACATTGCGCTTCGGTACTTTTTCGTCAAGGACGAGTTTGACCATGGGAAAGTTGATCTCGCGTACTGCCCAACCACCGAGAGGGCAGCCGATTTCCTCACCAAGCGACTGCCACGTCAGCAATACAAACACTGCTCTGACCTCACCGAAGTAGTCAAGCGAGTCAGCCCCTTGTGCGTCCAGGAATGAAGGGGAAGGGGATTGTTACGATATGAAATTATATGAGAATGCATTCCTGTATGCTGCATTAGCCGACTCTACCGAGTACGAAGTCGAGGAGTCAGAAGAGTCGAAGCGACGCAGCAACCGTCTGACTAAGACCGGTGCAGGCAGAAACATTTGAAATGAAAAGAGCGGGAACATGTTTTGAAACGGGTTCCCGCGCCTCACGGTTTAAAATCGCTGCAATAAGGGAATGTACCCCTTAGAGTACATGGCTAGTCTAGGTCTTTTCGTATTCTCCTGTATTCTTATATAAACCCGACGTATGCATGCAATTATCAATATCAGTCATTTACATTCACTCTGACCTGAGTTCACTACTTCCGCTGCAACACTATCCTGCGATCAACCCTGAGCGATCCTTCGCTAAGTACCACTTGGGATTGTAAGAATCCGTAATTTGCATATCCGTGTACTAATACTTGAAATTGCTATACATACATTAGTAAGTTTTGATTTCGAACTTTTATAGTAGGGTAGCCAAAAAAAAATCCATACGTATACCTGGACCTGCCCACAACGAATATGCGATTCCGCGGTGAGATCTACTCTCCAGGACTTCCATCCGAGTCGGTCGGTGATCCAATTTGAATCTACGTCTTTCCCTCTCCACTGGCAGCTGGGATTTTTTATCGTATCAGTGTAGGATCACAGTTAGGGAGACGATTGGCAGCTTCCATGGCTTCGCGTAGGGGCTGAGGTTCGCGTTTTACAAACGCGGCCGGCGCATGCGGATGGTCGTGCGTCTTAGATTCGGTGTTGCCCGAGAGTAGGCACGTTTGTCCTTCTTACGAGTCTCCCGTTTTACGGCTCTGTCGAGCATTGCTTGTTCAATTGATCGGAAGTGTGTCCGTCCAAGCAGCGTCTTCCGGAACCTCTGGAAGATTCCGCGCAACCACCCGCTTCACGATTCCCGATTTAGGTTCAAAACTCCTTCTTCAGATCGTTCTTTCTCTAGCCGCCGCTTCTAGCAGTCGCCAGTCCCTCCCATTCCCCCACATCTCCCCGCGTCTCCCCCATCTCCCCGCGTCTCCCCCATCTCCCCGCGTCTCCCCCATCTCCCCAGCATCCACGCCCCATCCGCCCACCCATCCTCCTCCCGACCGCCATGTTCACGTCAACCACGCGGCGCCAGCCCGGCGGCGGCGGCGGCAGGCACCGCGGGCTGTTGACTCTCAACTCAACGTTTCAAGCGTCCGTCCCCTCGGGCGCCTCGTCCTCCGCCGCCTCGCTCTTCTCCTGGTTACCCGGATTCGCGAATGCGACGCCGTACCGTCGCGTGCCTTCGTCGTCGTCGTCGTCGTCCGCCTCCGCGGCAGGCCCGCTCCGATCGCCTGGACACAGCATGACCGGCGGCGGCGGCGGCGGGGGATTCGGGGCGTTTCGGCTGAGCATGCCGGGGGGCGATGCGACGGGCGGCGCGGATAAGCGGCGCGGGAGCGTGGCGGTGTGCTGCGTGGTGGTGCTGCTGATCATCGCGCTGGCGTCGGGCGGCGGATCCGCCATCTGGGATGGTATAGGGGCGGGGACAGGGGGCGGGGGAGGTGGAGGGGGAAGGGGAGGGGGAGGGGAGGGGAGGGGGAGGGTAGGGGTACGTGGAGGGGGAGGGGTAAGATATAAAGGGAGGGGGAAAGGAAGGGGGAGGGGGAATTTGGGGGGGGAAGGAGAGGGGGAGTGGAAAGAGAGGTAGGGAGGGGACGGAGGAGGGGGAAGGGGAAGAGGGATTCATTGATGTGAATGGAACTCCCACTGACCACATTCTCACTCAATACACTCCTCCATTTTCGTTCCCAATCCCCCTCCCTCCACCCCCATCCCCAACCCATTTCCCACCCGTCTTTCCTTCCCCCTTTCCCCCAGCCTTCTCCGCCGGTCCTTCCTACGTGTCGCTCTCCGCCACCCCCGACCCCGCGTCGCTGCGCCCCGAGCGCGTGTTCGCGCAGCCGCCGTGGCGCGTGCGCGACGGCAGCGAGGCGGGGTACCTGTACGGCTGGACGGGGCCCGCGCTCGCGTACCGCATGGCGTGGAAGCAGCCCGCCGCCCACGGCGGAAGCGCAGGGGCGGGGGGAAATATTTCCGCGGACGAGTTCGCGCTGGCGATGCGCGTGGGGGGCGTGCTGCGGCGCGTGGGCGTGTCGACGGTGGCGGCGAGCGGGCACACCCTGGCAGTGACTCCGGGGGGCGTGGTGCTGTCGTGGGGGCGCGACTGGGACGCGCGCAGACGCCCCGCGGGGCTGCTGGGGCGCGCGGACGGCGCGTTTTGGCGGCCTGCGCCGGTGGAGGGGCTGACGGGGGAGGGGCAGGTGGTGGCGGTGGCGACAGGGCAGTATCACTCCGTTGCTGTAATGGAGAGCGGACGTGTGTTCACGTGGGGGCTCAACAACAGGGGGCAGCTGGGCCGACCAATCAAGAGCAAGGTGCGACGGGCTGTGTGGAGAAGGGGAGGTGTAGAAGGGAGGAGGGGAGGGGTCGGAGGGAGACGGGGTGGGGAGTGGGGAGGGTTGGGCGGGAGAGAGAGGAGGCTGAGGAGGGTGGGATTTGGTGGGAGGGGAGCCGAGCGGGAGCGTGTGGGAACGGATATAGGTGGGGTTATGAGGAGTTGTGTGGCTCAAAGTGGCCAACCAACGAAGATCATATTAGCTGTGCATCCTCATCACTGTTCCAACCCTTTCTACCCTACTCTGAACACCCAACGGTTTTTCCATCCATGTCCCGTTCCCACCCACCTCTTGCGCACTTTCCCATTCGCACAACAGCTCGCTGCATGCAAGCCCACACTCTTGCAGACGGAAATGAATCACAGAAACCGCCTCCTCATCCCTCTCCCTCCCACCTCTTCCCCTCCCTCCCGCGTCCCGCCCCATCCCTTCCCTCCCACATCCGCCCCACCCTGTTCGCACATCCACCCGATCCCACCCCATCCCACCCATCCCCACATCTTACCCCACCCCTCCCAGGAGGACGGCTTCCGGCCGGGGCTGGTGGGAGGGCTGCTGGCCCAGGAGCGAGTGCTGGCGATAGTGGCAGGGCGGTACTTCACACTCGCCATCTCGCAGCACGGCCGCCTCTTCACCTGGGGCGCCAACCTCTACACCGGCGACGCCCCCTGGCGCCACGAGCACGACTCCGACTTCGATGACGATGCCGATGCTGCTGCTGACGAGTTCCCAGAGAAAGGACCCGCGGGCACGGCCGGGAGCAGCAGTGAGAGGGAGGCGTGGCGGCAGCGGCTGAGAAACGCGGCGCTGGCAGCGGCCCAGCCGAGGGTGGTGGAGGCGGGGGTGGAGGGGGAGCAGGTAGTGGAGGTGGATGTGGGCACGGACCACTGGGTGGCACTCACAGGGTCGGGCATGGTGCTCGTGTGCCACACTGGGTTCACTCCTCAGGGGATTCGGGTTGACACTGAGCAGCACAGATCGTGGCTGGGAGTGGCGCCCGGGGTTCCCCTTGACCGCCCTGCTGCTGTGCGCGTGCCCCCTCATCTGGGCTCCCATCCTGGTGGAGGGGAGGAGGGGAGAGCGGCAGGGCCGGAGGTGCAGTCGGTGGCAGCGGCGCACCACACGACGTTTGCAGTGACAGCGGATTACAAGGCCGTGTCGTGGGGCGAGGCGGGGCCACTGCTGGGGCGCGCGTGGGGGGAGGGCCAGGGGCAGGTGCCGGCGAATCGGCCGGGGGTTGTGGGGAGCGGAGGAGGAGGAGGAGGGGCAGTGGGAGGGGAGGGGGTGGTTGGGTTGGATCGGCAGACGGTGGAGCAGGTGTCGGCTGGGGAGGGCTTTGCTGTGGCGAGGCTGAGCCATGGCGTGGTGTACTCGTGGTGAGTGGCGCAGTGTGGATGAGATCCTGTACTCGTGTCTCCCCCCTCCCTCCCAACCTCACCACCACTCCCCCCCCCCCCCCCCCCGTCCCCCCCCCCCCGCGCTCTTCCCTCCCTCCCTCCAGGGGCGACAACCAGCACGGGCAGCTAGGCCGCCCGGCGCCCTCTCAGGACGGCACTCCGGCGTTAGTGCACGGGCTGGAGCACCTGGAGGTGCTGCTGGTGGTGGCGGGGTCGCAGCAGGGCCTGGTGCTGTGCCGCGCACTGCAGGGCTCTGAAGCCGCCCTGGAGCCCCAGGAGTTTGACGACACGCGTGTGCTCAATGAGGAGCACGTGTCGCCTGCAACGCTGCCTGATCCCGATGCTTCTGCTCCTGCTGCTGCTGTGCCTGTGCCTGGTGGTGCTGGTGGCGTGGGAGCAGGGTTTGGTGCAGCAGTGGGTGCAGCAGTGGGTGCAGCAGGGGGAGCAGTACGGGCTATGGTGGCGGGTGGGGAAGGAACTGCTGTGGCGAGTGCAGCAGGAGGGGGTGACATTGGTGCGGGGGAGAATTGGGTGGAGCGAGTTGGGGGAGGGGCGTCAGCAGCGGAGCAGGGGGGCACGGGAGGGGAGGGGGCAGTGGCGCGGGACATGTGGATGAAGTTTGGGGAGGAGTTCAAGATGCTGCCCCGGCAGGGCATGGACAGCAGCATGCGGAACCCGTGCTGGCGCGTGCAGGCAGGCAGTGCGGCGGGTAGTGCGGGCACGGAGGGGGGGGCAGGCCCCGAAGTGCACTGCCTGCCGTACTTCTTCATCATCGGTGCCACCAGGTGTGCCTCCTCTTGCATCTTTCCCTTTTCTTCTTTCTCCATCTGCCATACCGATCGTCTTCAGTCTTTTCTCCCAACTGTTTCCTTCCCCTGTCGGCTCCTGCTCTTGCTCTTGCCCCACATACCAGAATGTTGTCCGTCCCTCACTGCTCCTTCTTGCACTCGCCCTCGTACTTCCTGCTCCATCTCCTTTCCCCTTCCCCTCCCTGTGCACCGTGCGTGTACCCACACACTCTCAGTGCCGCCATGCAGGAAGAATCTGTACCAGAACCTTACCCCTCATCCATCACGCCCGCTCTGTCTTGTTCTTCCCTTTTCCACCCCCCTTGTCTCGCACCCATTGCCTGCATGCATATCCCACCCCAATGCCGACACTGCCAGGGCGGGCACACAGGACCTGTACCGCAAGCTGACGTCCTCCATCACGCCTGCTCTGTCCTTCGCTTCCCTTTCCCCGCCCTCCTGTCACACATACCTATCCCGCCCACCATCCCAGGGCGGGCACGCAGGACCTGTACCGCAAGCTGACGTCCTCCATCATCCCGGGCATATTCCCAGCCGCCATCCCCAACCCCCAGTGGTAGGAGGACCTGCCTTGCCTTCTCCCCACCTCATGATGAGCACAATTCAACAATCCTTGTCCATCCTTATCCTCGCCCTAGTCAGTTTTTGTGCTGCCATGCCATCCCATCACAGCAACAATCAATAAAGCACAACGTTTATGACACAATGCCATGATCCTCTCCACCCATCCACACACCACCCCCCTCCCCCCCCCTTCCGCCCCACCTCCCTCCTCTTCCCTCCCCATCCCCCACTTCCCGTTTTGCCATGTATGTGTAGCTCGTTCCTGTCTTCGTGCGAAATGGCTCCTTGCAGTTTCTTCTTCTTTGAATGCTTCCACCAACAGCTCAAATCGCAGTCCTCTGTCTCGTCCTCCCTTCTCTGCTTCCCTGCCTCTCATCCTCTCCCCTCCTGCCACACAACAACCACCATCCTCATCTCGCCACAGCCACTCCCCTCCCTCCCCTCCTCTCGTCCTCCTCAACTCCAACCCTCTCATGAACCCATGTTCTTTGTAGAACCTCTCAAGACACAGCCCTTCAACCACGTTGTGTAGCATACATTGGACGAATTCTGACGCGCCGTACCCTCCCCTTCCCCATCCTTAAGCATCCCAAACCTTTTAAACTAGGACCGCAACTGCCCGAGAGACACACACCCCCACCCATCACATCTCCCTGCTCGCCTCCACCCCTCCTCTTCCCATCCCTTCCCCGCGGTTTCCCCCCCACCTCCTCCCCTCTCCTGCCTCCATACCCCCGCTGCCCCATCCCCACCCTCCCTTGTGCAGGTGGGACCGCAACGGAGCACGGGACTTTGCGTGGTACGTGTCGCTGTTTGACGAGGCAGCGCAGCACATGGTGAACACGGGGGGCAGCGCGGTGACAGGCGAGGCGTCCAGCACGCTGCTCACCAGCTCAGGCGTGGTGCTGCGAGGCCACGTGGACGACAGGCACACGGTGCCGCAGCTGCTGCACCTCGTGCTGCCCAGGAGCAAGTTCATTGTCATCCTCCGGAACCCCGTGGACCGGTTTTTCTCCGAGTTTAACCTCGCTGCCGCTGTCAACCCCTCACCCTCCGTTCCCAGGGACTTTCATAAATACGTGAGTGCCCGCACTGCACTGCATGACACCGCATCACACTACATCAATTTGCACTGTTTGCCCCCGCTCTACCGTATCTCAATCCCTCCCCGTCCCCTTCCCATCCCTCCACACACCCGCTATGCAATCCGATCTCGCTTTCTCTATTCGCATCTCTCCCACAATGCGTTCTCACCCTCGAATGGTCCTTGTATATACATGGGGCTACAGTGCAATGGAAGGTGAGTACAGGACAAGCAAAGCTGTGCCCAGAACCGCCTTACACGAGCTCGCAAGCCGGCCCCAGGGCCTGCATCAAGCCCCCCCCCCCAAGTCAATGGGCTCATGAAGCACGTCGATGGGCTCCACCCGTGCCGGCCACCAAGGCGGTGTGGGACTTGGCGGTTAGGGCATTGTTGGCCTGACTCCTTAGCGTGTTGGAGGATGATCGATGGATGGACCACCGCTGGCGGTAGTGCTGGAAGGGCTGGCCGTTTTGCAGGAACCCGGCTCTCAAGAACCGGCCAGCTCTGCCCGGCTCCGCTTGGAGTTGTTTAGCCACAAGGGTGGCGCACCTGTAAAGGAACTTGAGCTTACCCGATGAAACGTACCCGTACGTCTCCACAGCCAATGCCTAGAACCCGACCCAGGCCGTCCGGTTGCAGTGGGATTTCTGCTCTTTGGGACGGGTAGCTTCTTGGCCACCCAACCAATGCTGTGGATGGCCGTGGGGTGTTGCAGAGAGATTGGGTCTGTCACCGTCACATTATACAGGCACACGCCCCCCCGAGTTGGGTTGGCGCATGGCGAGATCCACCCTGAGCCCTTCAGCTCTTTGTGGACCGTGAGACCGCAGTCGGATGCGATCCTGGTCAATGCAAATGCGCATTTCATCGCGCACAGCAGCATTGTGAGTGCCAGTCCTCCCTTTGCCGGTCCCGCAGCGGAGCAGATGGTTTGGGAGACGTGGGCCGAGTATCTCTGTCGCGTCGTTCCAGTCACATGCGGTGGGCACAAGGTGTGGCAGGCTCAAACGAAACACCACGGCTCAGGAGCACCAACACCAACGAAGGAGGGAGTGCGGGCGCTGGCTGTGTTCGAGTAGGGCGTTCAGCTCCATATTCCTGAGCGGGGGGTTGCTCTCCTCCAGCAGCATAGAATCTTGCGGCCTGCACAGGTAGGCTCACACCCCACTGCGCGTTGAGCGATTCTAAGCCGTCTCAGAGTAGGTGAAGCGAGGAGGCAGGCTGTGGCGGTGGTTTCTGTCCGCTACAGCCGGGCGTCTTGGGAGAGCTGCTCGGCTGTTAGGGTTTGGGCTGAAGAGCGGGAAAAGAGCCGCGATGCTAGGGTGCAGTGAGCCGCTGGTGGCGCTGAGTAAATGCGCTGTTGCGGCCGTTAACGCCAGGAAACTGCTCTGCGGCTGGGTATGAGAGGCAGAGCCCGCCCAGGGATGTTGGGAGGGAGGTCTGGCGCCAAGTGCGGGACCGCTCCCCAGGGTGGCGATGCAGGGGGGTTGATGTGGCGCGGCACACCGATGTGGTAGGATGCTTCACCCCGTTCCGACCATTCCTTCGCAGGTAGGGTGTTCGGCGGAGAAGCATGGAGGAAAAAGGACATGCGGCCGATGCATGGAGGAAAAAGGACATGCGGCCGATGCATGGAGGAAAAAGGACATGCGGCCGATGCAGAGGGAGAGAAAGAGGACATGCGGCCGATGCATGGAGGAAAAAGGACATGCGGCCGATGCAGAGGGAGAGAAAGAGGACATGCGGCCGATGCATGGAGGAAAAAGGACATGCGGCCGATGCAGAGGGAGAGAAAGAGGACATGCGGCCGATGCATGGAGGAAAAAGGACATGCGGCCGATGCAGAGGGAGAGAAAGAGGAGGCAGATTTGGGGGTTGACCTGGGAGAGGGTTTCAGAGGCTGATCATTTGAGCGAGAGGCGCTGAAGGCCGAGCAGCTCTCCTCCAGGTCACGCTGGAGGACGCCACGCTGAAGGCTGTGGACCCCACGGGACCGCCGAGAACAACACGCAGGCCACTGCTGCAGAGGGTGGTGCGGGTCGGCAGACAGAACAGAAGCAGGTTTGGTTGAGGGCTGGGTGAGCATCCCCGCATATGGAGATGTTTTGGGCAGAAGGATGATGGCCGAAGTCAAGGAGTCGAAAACAGCAGAGCAGTCTTGGGGGGGCCAAAGAGCGCCACGTGGTCGCCTCCTCCCACCTGAGTGCCAGCCAGGATGGCGACAGTAGGTTGGGAGGGCACTGCTTTGAGCCCAAAAGCGAAAAGGAGAGGGGGCCCACGGCATGGCATCCCCCTGGCGAACAAACACCTGTGGCGCTGATGAGGTGGGCAACGTTGAGTTGAAGGCGGTGTGGAGGATGAGCCGCGAGTGGCTGCTGCTGTAGGACGATGCGGTGACGGGAATGAGGAACTCCTGGGGGCAATGACAAAGCCCTCGAATACGCCCGCCTCCGCTCTCTTGTAGGCGTTAAAATCGTTACTGGCGTCGAGGTGGAGGGCAGGGTGTGTGTGTGGATGGATTGGGAGGAGTCCTCAAAGTAGGTTCTGGAGGAGTGGATGATTGCTTCGACCCCCGCCCCTACAATACCCTCTTCGTACCGGATTGGGATGAAGTGTCGGCGCACAAAGGGAGCACTGGGCAGCAGCGATCAGGAGGGCCGCTTTTGAAGTGAGGTGGTGGACGACCTTTCTCATGGCCATTGTTCTGGTGAATGCTTTTGAGGTGCCTCAAAAGCGCTTAGGCTTGGTGAAGGCAAGGGTTGCCTCCGTGTGGTGAGCCTCGCTGCGAGTGCCATGTTCGCGAGGGCCAGAAGGTGTTAAGGGGGCGTCATATAGGTGTTTGAAGCACATGGCAGTTGCCATGGCGCCGTTGCTGTCCTTGCATCCGGAGAGGAGCAACCATAGGTCTCAAAAGGGGATGACAGGTGAGCCTGGGGCCTGGTAGGTTTGCCGTCATTTTGGAAGGAAGGTGATGGCGTTGGGGTGACGAGAGTGGAGGGCCTCCAAAGTCTCACAGTTGGACGGGCTGACTGGGGTGCTCTCAAGAGCTTCCAAGGCCTTGTCCAGGCTGCCGCGCGTGGCAAGGGATGTTGCACGAGAGAGCTTCCCAAGGATGTCCGTGGCGGAAGGTCTGTGGCAGAAGGGGAAGGTTGATTGCGGCACGGGCGTCAGTGTAGAGCTTGCACCAATGCAGGCATCAGTGTAGAGCCTGCCTGAATTGGGGTAACTGACTGGAGATGATAGCCCAGTCCGGTGAGCAGGAGGAAGTGACTCTGAGTGTGAGGCGTGGGAGGAACAGCAGGAGCTTCCAGGGGGGTAGAGAGTCAGGTTTATTAGGGATGTTCGATGATTCAGTGTTGATAAACAGCTCTGCATTGTCAGCGAGATGCGCTGGTAAAAAGAGGGGGGAGGTGTTTGTTTGCTTGGGCCTGGATTGGTCACTGGGGTGGTCTAATTGGAAGGGTGAGATGCGGTCCGGGAAGCGTTTTGACGAGCAGCGAAACCAGTGGTTTGGTTCTCAGGTCTGGGCACAGGGGAAATTTTGGTTGGTGTGGAGAGTGGAGATTCAGGGTCACCCTCGCTATCAGAGGTGGGGTACGAACTCTCTAGGGTACGACCTTCAGGACTGGAGCTTCATGCTGTAGCCCTTCGCCTCGGCGGCTCTCGCCATCTCCCTCGCTGTGGCCATCTCGGAGGTGGGTCGCGGCCAGGCGCAGCCAGCACGGTGGGATTCTCCTCGACCGCAGAGGTCATCACCTGTCTGGAAGGACCATGGCTGGCAGAGCAGGCGAGGGGGGACAGCATAGGCGCGTGTAGGGCCGTAGGCGGCCGTATTCGGACCAGCTGGAAACAGCCAAGGCGACGGCGGCGGCGCCCGGCACTCGCGGAGGTTCCTGCTGCCATTCGCGCATTGTGGCATGAGGTAAACAGATATCGCCTCCTCTCGATATATCGGCTCGCTCGCCAGTGCCCTTTGGACGGACTCCACCAGGGGGAGGGGATGGGAGGTGGTGCACTGCACCGAAGGGGGGGGAGGGGAGGGGGGGGGGGGGGGGAGGTACGCCCGTGCTCGTACCGGCAGTGTAGCACAGGCCAAAATTGTTCCTGCGTGCACCGCCACCTGTGGTGCATCTGCTGGCGCAGGCCCAGCGGGCGCCTGGGCTCGCTGAGGATCGTGTGGTGGCAGAGCGAGGGATGCAGCAGCGGGGACGGCGGCGGATCCGTCATGTGCAGAGCCCCCGTATCAATGCCGGCCCGTGCAGTGTCAGTGGGGTGGCCCGGTTCCGCGTGAGCTCCCTTTCGGGTGGTGCTTGAGCGTTTAAGGGGGCGCAACTAAGGGGGCACCGCGCAAGATGGCCGTGCAAGGGGACATTCATTTGCGCCTGGGGCATGCTCCGGCCTATGTATAGAGGTGGTGGCGGCAATGTGGGGGTGGAGTGGAGTATGCCTGGGGGGCGAGCGATGGGTGACTGTCCCGCAAGGGTGGTGGTGACGGACCACCCCCAGTCCAGGGCGTGAATTGTTGAGATGCTCCTGGGGACAACCACACCTAACCCATGAGTGGGAGTGGGTGGAGAGCTCAATGGAGCGGGCCGTGCCTGGTCGGCCGAGGAAGTGGCCGTGGTGTGAATGCTGTAAATGCTGTTGATGGCTGCGTGCCAGTGCTTCGTCTTATTGATAAGACCGTGGTGTGGTTGTTGGAGAGTGGGGGCGTAGCAGAGCAGTTGTATGGCGGAGCGGAGGCGCCTGCTGCATGGAAGGCTAGCATAGAGCCGCCGGCACCGTAGTAGGTCCATGGAGCTGCTTCAGGCCGTCCATGGTCGCTCACGACTTGGAAATGCGTGTGTGTGTTTTATCTGCATTTTAAACATGTTGCAGTCTGTACATAGTGTGCTGTCGTCCTGTACAGCGCGGCCGAAGCCCGTGGCCAAACTACTGAAGATAAAACGAAAGAAATGTCTCACCCTCACTGTTTACTCTCCTCCTCTATCCCACCTTCCTTTCTTCGTTCCATATTCCCCCTCCACCAATTGCTTCTCAAACGGTCCTTTGTATCAATGAGGAGATTGGTACAGGCTGAGTGCGCAAGAGAAGACAATGTCTGACCCCATACATCCGTGTGGAGAAGAAAGCACCGCATGCATTTCCAAATCTCCGCAAGGCATTTGCAAGCCCCTTCCCTGCACCTCCCCTTTCCTTCCCCTTCCCCTTCCCCCTTCTCTACACCAACCCCCACGTTTCCCCTTCCATACACCTTCCTCCACCGCCCCAGGCTCGGGATGCCACGTCACGCATGAGTGCGTGTGTGGAGAAGGAGGGCTGTTCCGAGACATGCCGGACCTGTGTGGCTCGTTCTATGCTTACTTCATCCAGGTGTGTTGTCAGTCGGCAGGTGTGTTGTGAGTCGGCAGGTGTGTTGTGAGCCGGCAGGTGTGTTGTGAGCAGGTGTGTTGTGAGCCGGCAGGTGTGTTGTGAGGCAGGTGTGTTGTGAGCCGGCAGGTGTGTTGTGAGCAGGTGTGTTGTGAGTCGGCAGGTGTGTTGTGAGCCGGCAGGTGTGTTGTGAGTCGGCAGGTGTGTTGTGAGCCGGCAGGTGTGTTGTGAGCAGGTGTGTTGTGAGCCGGCAGGTGTGTTGTGAGGCAGGTGTGTTGTGAGCCGGCAGGTGTGTTGTGAGCAGGTGTGTTGTGAGTCGGCAGGTGTGTTGTGAGCCGGCAGGTGTGTTGTGAGTCGGCAGGTGTGTTGTGAGCCGGCAGGTGTGTTGTGAGCAGGTGTGTTGTGAGCCGGCAGGTGTGTTGTGAGGCAGGTGTGTTGTGAGCCGGCAGGTGTGTTGTGAGCAGGTGTGTTGTGAGTCGGCAGGTGTGTTGTGAGCCGGCAGGTGTGTTGTGAGTCGGCAGGTGTGTTGTGAGCCGGCAGGTGTGTTGTGAGCAGGTGTGTTGTGAGCCGGCAGGTGTGTTGTGAGGCAGGTGTGTTGTGAGCCGGCAGGTGTGTTGTGAGCAGGTGTGTTGTGAGTCGGCAGGTGTGTTGTGAGCCGGCAGGTGTGTTGTGAGTCGGCAGGTGTGTTGTGAGCCGGCAGGTGTGTTGTGAGCAGGTGTGTTGTGAGCCGGCAGGTGTGTTGTGAGCAGGTGTGTTGTGAGTCGGCAGGTGTGTTGTGAGCCGGCAGGTGTGTTGTGAGTCGGCAGGTGTGTTGTGAGCCGGCAGGTGTGTTGTGAGCAGGTGTGTTGTGAGCCGGCAGGTGTGTTGTGAGGCAGGTGTGTTGTGAGCCGGCAGGTGTGTTGTGAGCAGGTGTGTTGTGAGTCGGCAGGTGTGTTGTGAGCCGGCAGGTGTGTTGTGAGTCGGCAGGTGTGTTGTGAGCCGGCAGGTGTGTTGTGAGCAGGTGTGTTGTGAGCCGGCAGGTGTGTTGTGAGGCAGGTGTGTTGTGAGCCGGCAGGTGTGTTGTGAGCAGGTGTGTTGTGAGTCGGCAGGTGTGTTGTGAGCCGGCAGGTGTGTTGTGAGTCGGCAGGTGTGTTGTGAGCCGGCAGGTGTGTTGTGAGGCAGGTGTGTTGTGAGCCGGCAGGTGTGTTGTGAGCAGGTGTGTTGTGAGTCGGCAGGTGTGTTGTGAGCCGGCAGGTGTGTTGTGAGTCGGCAGGTGTGTTGTGAGCCGGCAGGTGTGTTGTGAGCAGGTGTGTTGTGAGCCGGCAGGTGTGTTGTGAGGCAGGTGTGTTGTGAGCCGGCAGGTGTGTTGTGAGCAGGTGTGTTGTGAGTCGGCAGGTGTGTTGTGAGCCGGCAGGTGTGTTGTGAGTCGGCAGGTGTGTTGTGAGCCGGCAGGTGTGTTGTGAGCAGGTGTGTTGTGAGCCGGCAGGTGTGTTGTGAGCCGGCAGGTGTGTTGTGAGCCGGCAGGTGTGTTGTGAGCCGGCAGGTGTGTTGTGAGCCGGCAGGTGTGTTGTGAGCAGGTGTGTTGTGAGTCGGCAGGTGTGTTGTGAGTCGGCAGGTGTGTTGTGAGTCGGCAGGTGTGTTGTGAGCCGGCAGGTGTGTTGTGAGCAGGTGTGTTGTGAGTCGGCAGGTGTGTTGTGAGCCGGCAGGTGTGTTGTGGAGCCGGCAGGTGTGTTGTGAGCCGGCAGGTGTGTTGTGAGCAGGTGTGTTTTGAGCCGGCAGGTGTGTTGTGAGCCGGCAGGTGTGTTGTGAGTCGGCAGGTGTGTTGTGAGCCGGCAGGTGTGTTTGTGAGTCGGCAGGTGTGTTGTGAGCCGGCAGGTGTGTTGTGAGCCGGCAGGTGTGTTGTGAGCCGGCAGGTGTGTTGTGAGCCGGCAGGTGTGTTGTGAGCCGGCAGGTGTGTTGTGAGCCGGCAGGTGTGTTGTGAGCCGGCAGGTGTGTTGTGAGCCGGCAGGTGTGTTGTGAGCCGGCAGGTGTGGTTGTGAGCAGGTGTGTTGTGAGCAGGTGTGTTGTGAGCCGGCAGGTGTGGTTGTGAGTCGGCAGTTGTGTTGTGAGCCGGCAGGTGTTGTGAAGCCGGCAGGTGTGTGTGAGCCGGCAGGTGTGTTGTGAGCCGGCAGGTGTGTTGTGAGCCGGCAGGTGTGTTGTGAGCCGGCAGGTGTGTTGTGAGTCGGCAGGTGTGTTGTGAGTCGGCAGGTGTGTTGTGAGCCGGCAGGTGTGTTGTGAGCAGGTGTGTTGTGAGTCGGCAGGTGTGTTGTGAGCCGGCAGGTGTGTTGTGAGTCGGCAGGTGTGTTGTGAGCCGGCAGGTGTGTTGTGAGCCGGCAGGTGTGTTGTGAGCCGGCAGGTGTGTTGTGAGCCGGCAGGTGTGTTGTGAGCCGGCAGGTGTGTTGTGAGCCGGCAGGTGTGTTGTGAGCCGGCAGGTGTGTTGTGAGCCGGCAGGTGTGTTGTGAGCCGGCAGGTGTGTTGTGAGCCGGCAGGTGTGTTGTGAGCCAGGTGTGTTGTGAGCAGGTGTGTTGTGAGCCGCAGGTGTGTTGTGAGTCGCAGGTGTGTTGTGAGCCGGCAGGTGTGTTGTGAGCCGGCAGGTGTGTTGTGAGCCGGCAGGTGTGTTGTGAGCCGGCAGGTGTGTTGTGAGCCGGCAGGTGTGTTGTGAGCCGGCAGGTGTGTTGTGAGTCGGCAGGTGTGTTGTGAGTCGGCAGGTGTGTTGTGAGCCGGCAGGTGTGTTGTGAGCAGGTGTGTTGTGAGTCGGCAGGTGTGTTGTGAGCCGGCAGGTGTGTTGTGAGTCGGCAGGTGTGTTGTGAGCCGGCAGGTGTGTTGTGAGCCGGCAGGTGTGTTGTGAGCCGGCAGGTGTGTTGTGAGCCGGCAGGTGTGTTGTGAGCCGGCAGGTGTGTTGTGAGCCGGCAGGTGTGTTGTGAGCCGGCAGGTGTGTTGTGAGCCGGCAGGTGTGTTGTGAGCCGGCAGGTGTGTTGTGAGCAGGTGTGTTGTGAGCAGGTGTGTTTTGAGCCGGCAGGTGTGTTGTGAGCCGGCAGGTGTGTTGTGAGTCGGCAGGTGTGTTGTGAGCCGGCAGGTGTGTTGTGAGCCGGCAGGTGTGTTGTGAGCCGGCAGGTGTGTTGTGAGCCGGCAGGTGTGTTGTGAGCCGGCAGGTGTGTTGTGAGCGCGCAGGTGTGTTGTGAGTCGGCAGGTGTGTTGTGAGTCGGCAGGTGTGTTGTGAGCCGGCAGGTGTGTTGTGAGCAGGTGTGTTGTGAGTCGGCAGGTGTGTTGTGAGCCGGCAGGTGTGTTGTGAGTCGGCAGGTGTGTTGTGAGCCGGCAGGTGTGTTGTGAGCCGGCAGGTGTGTTGTGAGCCGGCAGGTGTGTTGTGAGCCGGCAGGTGTGTTGTGAGCCGGCAGGTGTGTTGTGAGCCGGCAGGTGTGTTGTGAGCCGGCAGGTGTGTTGTGAGCCGGCAGGTGTGTTGTGAGCCGGCAGGTGTGTTGTGAGCAGGTGTGTTGTGAGCAGGTGTGTTTTGAGCCGGCAGGTGTGTTGTGAGCCGGCAGGTGTGTTGTGAGTCGGCAGGTGTGTTGTGAGCCGGCAGGTGTGTTGTGAGCCGGCAGGTGTGTTGTGAGCCGGCAGGTGTGTTGTGAGCCGGCAGGTGTGTTGTGAGCCAGCAGGTGTGTTGTGAGCCGGCAGGTGTGTTGTGAGCAGGTGTGTTGTGAGTCGGCAGGTGTGTTGTGAGCCGGCAGGTGTGTTGTGAGCAGGTGTGTTGTGAGTCGGCAGGTGTGTTGTGAGCCGGCAGGTGTGTTGTGAGTCGGCAGGTGTGTTGTGAGCCGGCAGGTGTGTTGTGAGCCGGCAGGTGTGTTGTGAGCCGGCAGGTGTGTTGTGAGCCGGCAGGTGTGTTGTGAGGCAGGTGTGTTTTGAGCCGGCAGGTGTGTTGTGAGCCGGCAGGTGTGTTGTGAGTCGGCAGGTGTGTTGTGAGCCGGCAGGTGTGTTGTGAGTCGGCAGGTGTGTTGTGAGCCGGCAGGTGTGTTGTGAGCCGGCAGGTGTGTTGTGAGCCGGCAGGTGTGTTGTGAGCCGGCAGGTGTGTTGTGAGCCGGCAGGTGTGTTGTGAGCCGGCAGGTGTGTTGTGAGCCGGCAGGTGTGTTGTGAGCCAGTTAGCCGGCAGGTGTGTTGTGAGCCGGCAGGTTGTGTGTGTGAGCCGGCAGGTGTGTTGTGAGGCAGGTGTGTTGTGAGCGAGGTGTGTTTTGAGAGCCGGCAGGTGTGTTGTGAGCCAGGCAGGTGTGTTGTGAGTCGGCAGGTGTGTTGTGATCCGGCAGGTGTGTTGTGAGTCGGCAGGTGTGTTGTGATCCGGCAGGTGTGTTGTGAGCCGGCAGGTGTGTTGTGAGCCGGCAGGTGTGTTGTGAGCCGGCAGGTGTGTTGTGAGTCAGGCAGGTGTGTTGTGATCGTCAGGTGTGTTGTGAGCCGGCAGGTGTTGTATGTGAGCAGGTGTGTTGTGAGTCGGCAGGTGTGTTGTGAGCCGGCAGTGTGTTGTGAGTCCGGGCAGGTGGGGTGTTTGTGAGCCGGCAGGTGTGTTGTGAGCCGGCAGGTGTGTTGTGAGGCAGGTGTGTTGTGAGTCGGCAGGTGTGTTGTGAGCCGGCAGGTGTGTTGTGAGTCGGCAGGTGTGTTGTGAGCCGGCAGGTGTGTTGTGAGCCGGCAGGTGTGTTGTGAGCCGGCAGGTGTGTTGTGAGCCGGCAGGTGGTGTTGTGAGCCGGCAGGTGTGTTGTGAGCCGGCAGGTGTGTTGTGAGCCGGCAGGTGTGTTGTGAGCCGGCAGGTGTGTGTGAGGCCGGCAGGTGTGTTGTGAAGCCGCAGGTGTGTTGTGAGCCGGCAGGTGTGTTGTGAGCCGGCAGGTGTGTTGTGAGCGGCAGGTGTGTTGTGAGCCGGCAGGTGTGTTGTGAGCGGCAGGTGTGTTGTGAGTCGGCAGGTTGTGTTGTGAGCCGGCAGGTGTGTTGTGAGCCGGCAGGTGTGT